ACGCACGCACGCACGCACGCATAGACACGCATGTACGCGCGCATACACGTATCCGTTCACGTGCAATATCGCCAAGGGACATCGTACAAGGACAACGGGTACATCAGAACTGCAGAGCACGTACAGTATACGCGGCTACACCCTCGCTGGCCGACCCACCTACCGCATTACAGCCATAGCAGGCCGGCAGTATAGTGAGTTACCCATAGACAAGCTGTTAGGGACATCTAAGTGTTGGTCGGACGCTCTACGGTGAACTAAGCTGGACTCGGTTCTAACTACGCGGTGCCTATAACCCATCCACGCGCCTACTCGCCAGCAGTGGAGCATAGGTTTCACGGGCTCACGCGTGAAACCAGCTCACGCGACGGACACCAGCTCACACGTGTAACCAGCTCACGCGTGTAACCAGCTCACGTGACGGACACCAGCTCACGCGTGTAACTAGCTCACGTGACGGACACCAGCTCACGCGTGTAACCAGCTCACATGTGACAGACACCAGCTCACGCGTGTAACCAGCTCACATGTGACAGACACCAGCTAACGCCCGGACCGTGGTAAGCACACGGAACGCCTAAACGAACGAAACGCGTGAATTACGCAGCAAGGAAACAACGTTAGCAGCTAATGACAGCGGGAGTGAGGTCGGTACACCCGGCTAATCAGCATTCAATCACCTGCGAGCAGCAACCACAGGTAAGAACTGCTGTCGTATAGCTGTGACGCTGGCGGCAAGAGCGAGATGACGGCGATTAACTATCGACCGTTAGAATTATGGATGCATAAACCCCAGCACCGTCTCTGCACGTCACAAAGCCACGCGAGGTCACCGAAATCTGTGAGCGACCGTCACCGAGTGTGACAACTCGAGAAAATTCTTGAAGATGTTATTCGAAGTCATGGTGGTGTTTTCACATCGGTTCGGTAATCCCAGCACTGTGTAACAGCTAGCGAGTTATACCAGATACTGAAATTTTAGTCGCTATAATAAATAATTCCTGATAAAATATTTGAAGAGAATATTTGATCTGAAGAGATGTCCAACATCAAGATACTATATCTTATATTATATACTATATACTATAGTAATACCGCAACGTATATTACATGCTATATATATACTATAGTAATACTACATCGTATATTACATACTATATACTGTAGTAATACTATATCGTATATTACATGCTATATACTATAGTAATACTACATCGTATATTATATTCTATATATGCTGTAGTAATACTATATAGTATATTATATACTCTATGCTGTAGTGGTACTATAAAGTATTCGGAGCGATACCAAACCTCTAGGGAGAGAGCAAATAAAATAAATAATAATAATAAATATAATAAAATAATAAAAGCTGAGCTGATTAAGGACAAGGGACGGACGTAGCTATACGTACATAACAACGTGCATAATGCAGTGCGGTGGGTCTACGGCTGGCTACACGATTTACACTTTATTTTAGAGTTCTTTGCATTTAATAGACGTTCATTTTACTTGTCTCTTTAATCTAGGAGGGCAGGTGACAGCATACGCTTACGGACGACCCTGTACAGGTTTCTTCTAGACCTGCAGCATGGAGAGTAGGCACAGGCTGCTCGTCCACGGAGCACGTCAGGTAGTACAGGTCGTCGCTAACGGGCAGCAAGTGTTGAAGGGTGCAGCTATGAGACAGTTGGCTGAAGTAACGGCCGGACCAGCAGGGGGCGTCAGCATCGTCGTGAACAGCAACGGTCGCATAGCGGACATTGGCCTTGACTCAGTGGTCACCTCGAAGTACGGCGGTGCCACGTTCGATCGAACGATCAACGCACGAGGGATGTGTGTGCTACCAGGTAGCGCCACTATATACGAATACCCGCTTCATCCTTGTTTCTGCAAGGCACGATCTCATCCAATAACCAAATCCACACTCTTACCCTAACCAAAATCCTCAGTGTAACCTGTATCCTAACCACAATCCTAACCCGAAATTTTACCTTAACCACAATCCTAACCCTAACCACAATCCTAAACCTAACCACAATCCTAACTCTAACCACAATCCTGACTCTAACCAAATTCCTCACCGTAACCTGTACCCTAACCACAATCCTAACCCCCAAATGCTACCTTACCCACAAAGCTAACCCTAACCACAATCCCAACCCCCAAATCCTACCTTACCCACAAAGCTAACCCTAACCACAATCTTAACCCTAACCACAAAGCTAACCCTAACCACAATCTTAATCCTAACCCGTACCCAATAACCGTAACCACAGTTGGTCACCACAGTTCTAATCATAACCCTAATCCTAATCCAGCGTCCTTAGCCAAACAACCCTAACAATAACGCTAACCATAAACCTAACCGTCACCGAATATTTTAACCATGGCCGCAACCCTAACCGCAGTACCAACCCTAACGCTAACTGCATTGTTGATTCTTTTCGCCAGGTCTCGTGGACGGTCACACGCACCCCGTGTGGGCCGGAGATCGGGTGCACGAGTTTGCCATGAAGCTCGCTGGCGCCACCTATATGGAGGTACATGAAGCTGGGGGAGGGATCAACTTCACCGTGAGACACACGAGGGAAGCCTCGGAGGAGGAGCTCTATACCAGCTTGTGCGCCCGACTCAATACGATGATCAAGTCAGGTATAATATATTATAGAAGATCTAACTGACCACGCCTCCGGGTCCCCGCCTTATATATAGCTGTTGGATCGATCAAGCTAGACTGCCATATATGTGTTGTTCACCCGCGCACACCACGTTGTCGACTTCGCAGCACTTCGCTGCCAATCATTGTCTTTTGAGCGTCCTATCACGTCAATGATTGGCTAGAACCGCCTGTCAATCACGTCAGGTCAATTACAGAACGCCTTATCTCTCTCCGACAGCATATAAATACGAAACACATGTAGTAGAAAACTTAAACTTAAAGCCTCTTAAAAGAACGGGGGATCTGGATCTGGATTGCATAATATGCTTTAGAGGTTGGTCGCACTCTCTTAGTTAACTAGTTGTGCAGGTCTCATTCACCAGTTTGTCCCCCTGAGCAGTGGACCAAGTCGACCTCTTTGCTGACGATGAGGGTAGACACTGACAAAATTGTTTACATCCACATTGGTACCTTTACGCCACACTACTGGAGGTGCTCATTTCCATTGTTTCCTTTTCCTTAATTCTGTTCTTTATACGTGTTTTACACATCCCCCATACATCCATTCCTATGGATACTCGCACTACGCACATTTCACTTCTAAATGCATTCCTTCGAAATGGTAACATTCTCTACATCTCTCTCTTCTCCTCCCCCTCCCCCCGCCTCCTCTCTCGCTTCTCTCTCTCTCTTTCTCTCTCTCTCTCTCTCGTCGGTTTCTTCTCTCTCTCTCGTCGGTCTCTCTCTCACCCTCCTCGTCTTATTCCCCTCGTGAATACGTAGAGTATTTCTCCCGGATCATCGGGTCATACACTCTCCTCTCTCTTATCTTTGTCCCTCTCAACCCTCTCTCTCCCTCCTTTCTCCTCTTCATACACTCTCTCTCTCAGTCTCTTTAACACACTCATTCTCTTACCCTCACTATTTCTGCAGTCTCTCTATCTCTCTCACTACTTACTTGGTCATTCACTCACTCATTCACCCCTCTCTTGCTCTCTCACTCACTCACTCACTCACTTATTCTCTTACCTTCTCCCGCCCTCTCCTTCGCTCCCCGTCTTTCACACCCACTCTCTCCCTCTCTCCGCGTCTCGTCACGGTGCGCTCTTCTCCCTCACAAGGTTGCACAGCACAGTACTACACTCTCCCGGTCTTCCTTATTCTCCTCTCGCTCCTCCCCCTCTCTCTCTCTCTCTCTCTCTCTCTCCCTCTCTCATACACTTTCTCTCCCTTTCTACCTCACACTCTCTTTCTCTGCCGGCAGGTACAACTCTAGTGGAGTGTAAGAGTGGATATGGACTGAACGTTGAGACAGAGCTGAAGATGCTGCGTGTGATAGAGCGCGCTCGCCGCGACATGCCCATCGACATCTCTGCCACCTTCTGCGGCGCCCACTCCGTCCCAGAGGGCGCCACCGCCGCGCAGGCGACAGATGACGTCATCGACGTGCAGCTTCCGGCCGTCGGGCGGCTGATGGACAGCGGTCAGCTGCGCGTCGACAACATCGACGTCTTCTGCGAGCGCGGCGTGTTCGACGTCGCGCAGACGCAGCGCATCCTGGCGGCGGGCGCCGCCGTCGGTCTCGCCGCCAACTTCCACGGCGAGGAGCTGTCGCGCCTCGGCAGCGCCGAGATGGGCGCTACCCTGGGCGCGCGCGCCATCTCGCACCTCGAGGAGGTGAGCGACGACGGCGTGGCGGCGATGGCGCGTCAGGGTACGATCGCCGTCGTGTTGCCGACGACGGCGTACGTGCTCGGGCTGCGTCCGCCGCCAGTCCGCGCCATGATCGCCGCCGACGTCGCCGTCGCTCTCGGCAGCGACTTCAATCCGAATGCTCACTGCGTGTCAATGCCGCTAGTGATGAACCTCGCCTGCGTGCTACTGAAGATGTGCATGCAGGAGGCGCTAGCAGCAGCCACCATCAACGCCGCAGCGTCCCTGGGGAGGGCCGACACACAGGGGTCGCTAGAGGTGGGAAAATACGGTGACCTGGTGCTCATAGAGGCGGATAGCTGGGAGCATCTGATCTACCAGATGGGCGGTCACGAGAATCTGATTAAGTACACGGTCAAGGAAGGCGTAGTCATTCACGAAGCGCGAGAATGTGTGTCGTCAATGAACGCCGGTGTGGTGGCAGAAACATCGTGGATATGACATGATAGGTCTAAAGGGTAGCATAACTTCTGTGCATGGAGTGTTGTGCAAATGTTATGACAGCAGAGTAGCTATAATATGATGTTTCTGACAACGAACCCTGAGCTTGTCGCCTTGCTCCCATAATCAAATAACACTACACAGCTAAGCGGCATTGCGGTAATGTCGGGTGTATGTGATTAATGTAAATAAAGGGCTGGGATAATTAATTATCGGGTAAATAGTGAGGCTAATGATGGGCTTGGTGCTAATAACAGTCTTGTTCGTCGGCAAACGAAGTCAATAAATAAGACCTGCGATGGAAAAACATGAGAATGTGACTAAATGATGTATTTATGTTGTAATTGTCATAAGTATGTGTCATTTCCAGTTGTCACTCATGAATTCGTATTTGGCTGCCCTGTGCGTAGATTAATTCACAAGAATCGGGGTGTTTACTGGCACACCTCTAGGTTAGCTTAGAAGCTGATGTGCCTCGTTCGTTGCAAGAACAAGTACACATCAACACGCACACGCACACATGTACGCATCCACACGCACCCGCGTATACACACGCACGCGCCCACAAACACGCGCGCACACACACACACGCGCACACACACGTACACACATAAACGCGCGCGCACACACACACACACACACACACACACACACACACACACACACACACACACACACAC